GGAGAGAGAGAGAGAGAGAGTGAGAGAGATGTTTCTTGACTAAGTTATAAATGATCCAATGATAGATTCTCAAGATGATTGGATTTTTTTTATATGGAGGAATTGCTTTTTTCAAACCAATATTTTTTGCCTGTTAAATCAACATTAATGTCTTGAAAGATGATACCCTTTTCTGCTTGCCCTAGAGCGATAGAAACTCCATTTTATTCTTTGACTCATTGCTGTAATTATTTTGTCTGTGTCCTTCTTTTGTTTTGCACACAAACCTAAAGCAGTGGATGGTTAGAGGGCACCACTGGTAGGTCCTAATTCTTTTATTTCTCTGTTTGTTTCATCGTCTATCCTGCTTTTTTCCTGCTTTAAATGGACGTTATCATGTCTGTTAGCTTCCTTATTTTCAACTGTAAACTCAAACTTGTGGGTGGTTGGCGGGTGCTCTGGTGTGGTTTGCTCCTTCTTTCCTGTCAAACCTCTGTCGTCCTTATCTCCACTCCTTCTTTTTTGTGTATGTAACACATAATCTATTCTTCGGCACTTATATGACCTTATTGTGTTGCAAGTGCCGTAAGACTCTTACTAAAACTCAAACTCAAACTTGTAATACTTTTAATTGGATGCTATCTTTTTCTTCTTTTTACTCCCCTCTTTAGCGCGACAAGAGTCTGCGTTCGACTGGCACGGTCTCCCCGCCTCCGTCCTCCGACTCAAGCATCACTGACACAGTCAATGACAGACTCTCCGAGGGTCAGTGGCTCCTCAGCCGCAGTGAGGGACAAATGCCGGCAATACCCATCACTGATGGTGAGTGCCGTAGCTCTTTAAAAGGGATTTGCTTATATTTACATTGAGAGTTGCTTAGAAAGAGATTCTCCTGTAAAGGTAGTTGCATAAACAGTGATTCTCCCATAAAGATAGCTTCTTAAAATGTGATTCTCCTGTAAAGATAGCTGCTTAAAAAGAGAGTCTCCTGGAAAGAGAGTTGAAAGGGACTTCCAGTGCACACTATATCAAACTGGATTCTGTCTTTATTTTCAGATTTTACCCACAAGTCCAATAGGACCTATTGCACTCTGCATGCAAATAAAAAATCTGTCCCGGCAATGTGTAGCAGCCTTCTGATTGTTTTTTTTTTCCTTCAAACGTATCAAGTATACCGAATTGTTACCAAGAAAACGGAACATGTTTAATTTTGGAGGATTTTATCAAATTGTGCCGAAATGAAAGCTTTTGCCCCTCCATGGAAATATGAATAAAAGCTGATGGAATGTTTCTGACATGTTCTTATCAATTTTCTTCTGGGTTTTTTTTTGGCTCAACAACTTTTTATGTCTATTTATAAACACATTTTTATGTGGATTTTTACTGAACTAGATCAGTGTCAAATCCTTATTTTAAACACTCAGTAACAAACTGTTTTGTTTGAACATTTTTTGTTTGTTTGTTTCAGCGGCCCGTCAAGAGTACCTTAGGAAACGTTACCAGAATGCTGACCTCAGCACTGCCAGCACTCTGAGGGACACAGACGATCTTGACCTTGTATGTTGGACTTTTTCCAACACAATTTGTAGATTTCTTAAAACTGAATTTTATTATAAACTGTTTTTGTTTGATTCAGTATTTTAATGACGAACCTGTGGATCATGATATAGAGTTAAATTCGTTTTTAAATGTAGATGTTCCCCACCCCCTCCACCCATCCACTCAATTTAGATCATTTAGGAGGCAGGCTTCAATCCTGTCTGTCAGGACCAACTCATATTCCCATATTGAGAGGGAAACCATACCCATCAGAAAGATCAAGATACGTTCAAACGTCATAATAACCCCCCAGCCCCCACCCCCCACACACGCACACACACACAAACTACACATTATTTTTATAGTTTAGTTTTATATTTTTACACTCCTTGCAACACCAATAAGGTTATTTCACCCTCTTTCAGTCACTGGGAACTTGCAAAATTGTCAAGACATTTTACAGGGAATTCATAAATTGTACAAAATAGTGCTGCAAAAGCAGGAATTTTTTAGGGTGTGGAAACCGACCCTTTCAGTCTTGCAGCAGACCTGAGGGTAATCTATTTGCCCTCTGATTGATGTAGGGTTAAAGAAAAGATTTTTAAGAATGAAGGTTAGTCCTACTAAGGCTTGTTGCATTATGTTTCTTTTCTTCTTCTTCTTTGCTAACCCATGTTAGATCTCACTGGTAGTCGACTGCTGGTTCTTCAGCCTGCAGAGCAACTGATTTTAACCTGACATTATTTTTTCTTCCTTTTTGTTAATTAATGTTTGTTTCGGGCCTGGGATTCAAAACTTTGGTATCTTATAAACCTTACTTTTCAGGAGAAGCAAAAAACTGATTTTCTCTTCCCACAGATGAATTGAGGATGGGATTTTTTTCATATTACTGTTTGAAAAACACCACGCATTTGTTGATGGATGTTTTGAAATTGTGTCTCTCTCAGTTTGGACGGTACCTTTAGTTATGTTATTGTGGCACTGACTTTTTGGGCAAACGATAGTTTTGCAACCCAGGCCCGGTTTATTGTGTTACTGATACCAAATGTTTCACCAGGATGAAGCGGATGCAACACGCAGTGAAGGAGAGTTCCTGCACGCTGGTTTACCTCTCCCGGAGGATGACCCGATGCTGCTACTGCTGGCTCAGATGCAGCGTAACCCGCTAGCGGCCGCCCAGAGGGATCTCCCAGAGGCTGCAGTCAGACAGGTGGGGGGTGTGCAGAATGACTGAATGAAACATTTTTTTGTGGTTGTTTTATTGGTTGATAAGTAAAGACATATAATTGAAGGAATGTGGTACGTGTTATATTAAGGAATTCTATGACTGTGGGTCTTCAATGTTTTAACAGTCCTCTATACATAGCGTCAAAGAAATTTTTTTTTCCCCTCCATGGGCAATTTTTATCAGATTTTCTTTTGTTGTCTCGACACCTTTGATGTCCATTTAAAAATACTTTTCTGTGCGAATTTTACTGAAAAACGTTGATCGCAGGCACAAAAATGAAAATTTGCAGTTTCCAAGGAAACTATTGCTACCGAAGTCTCCAAACTTTTTTTGCGGCCATTTCTCACTAATTTTGCTTCTGATACTAGGCGACACCCTGCTCCTTTATTTGCAAATATCTCGATTTCTACTCATGATAAATGGGTACTTTATTTTGTCAAATTTCAAGATGAATTAACAAATTTTAAAACAATACCATAAGTCCATATGCCCAAAAATTAACGAGCGTCTGATTCAACCGCATCGTAACACAAATTGATGCGTCTGCAATATGTTTCAATATATTTTCACTCCCCGGTTTCCCGGCACTAGGTCCTACAAGGTCAAGGGTCAAGAGAAGCAGCTGGCATGTCTGCCACGGGTCGCAGCCTGGGTGAGCTCAGTGTGGGCCAGGTTCCCCACTCCAGGCTGGTCATGGTGCAGTCTCGCAAGGACAGGGACAGGGGACATGCAGGTGAGTCTTATCTTTTTAACGTTATTTTTTCTTATTCTAAATAAATATTTTACAATTACTAAAGCGATCACAGTTTGATTTACTTTGGAACTATTGAGCTGATGGGTTTTTTTTTCTTGTACGGCCTTATCGTATCTTATCCTATCTGCTTACCTTGTTAATTTTCATACTTCATTCTATCTTACAATATCTTGCCTTTTGTTGTGCTGTCTACTTATTTCCCATGGTGAGAAGTCTTTTTATCCACCATCTCTATCATACTGCCACGGGGTATTACTCAGGGCTTAAACAGGCAGAATTCAAGCAGCCTGCATCCTGTATGATTTAAATTGAGTAGAGAAAAAGAGTTTTTGTTTCAGTAAGAGTATTACAGCACTTACAACACAAGTAAGTGGTATAAATTATGGTGATTAAAAGCTTTACTAGTAAATGTTATCTTATTATCTTCACCAGATCGTGGAAGTCCAACAAGAAGCCCAACCCGTAGCCCCAGCCGTAGCCCCGGTAGAAGCCCAGGCAGAAGCCCCTCTCGCAGCCTGGAGCAAAGTATAGAAGAAGAAGAATACTGGCGGGAAGAAGAGAGGAAGGAAAGGAGGCGGCAGCGGAAACAGGACCGCAGCAGAACTCCATCGCCACTTCAGCAGCAGCAGCAACAGCAACAGCAACAGCAACAGCAGCGTAGCAGGACCCCACCGCCACAACAGCAGGGCAGAGCAAGGACTCCACCTGGTGGTCGTCACCAGCCTCAGGCTGGCCCAGGGAACAGAGGGAGGCCCAGAGGTAAATTTGGTAAACCCTTTCCTTACCAGACGGTTTTCCTCTTTTCTACACTGTACTGTAACTAAGCAAACTCAGTGGCCCTTTTTCTCATTTCTGACGGTGGCCAGAAAAATATATTATCTTCTTTCTCTTCCTTTTTTTTCAAAGAAATTCTTAAATGCTTCATATATAAATGCTGGGAAATTAATTTTCTATCAGACAGTTAAAAAATAAAAGTAATTTGAGAATAAGGTACGGGTTTGTGTGAATCTGAGAACTCTGGAGTGAAAGAGATAAAGACTTTTTTTAGCTCATGGTAAAAAAAACGTGGGTCACATGGGTCATACATAGGTTACGATATGTTTCTGACTGGCATATGCAGTGGACCCGAGTTCAATTCCGGAGTGGGGCATTTTTATAGAGTATCTCTGTCTTTCTGTTGGGATGTGGATCCCTCTAGGCCCGGGCAGGCCTTGAAAGGCAGGATCGGAAGCGGCGTCCTAAATTACCTTAATCATGTAGATGGAGTGTAAAGGCATAAAAACACCAATATTAAAAACATATATATATTTCTGCTCTCCCCGGCCCTTCTCACAGGTCAAATGGCATACCAACCGGTTCTGTCAGAAGGAGCACCTGTGTCCACAAGGGGCCGGACTCCACCAGGCTACGGAGGAAGCAGACGTAGCAGTGACAGTCGCCTGACCCGCAGCAGTGATCAAGGTAAGGACTGTCCGCAGTCACAGCTTAATTTTAGTAGAGGTTTTTCGGCGCTTGCAACTGCATAAGGTCATATGAGCGCCAGAAGATTAGAAGTGTTACAGTAGAGTGACAAACATAAAAATGAAGAAGGGGAGATAAGGATGATAGACGTTTGATAGGAAAGAAGAAGCAAACCACACCAGAGCACCCGCCAACCACCCACTCTGTCAGAGCTTTTTGACACCTCTCTGAAAGATTTGTGAAGCATGCTGACATAATGAGTTACTCTTCGGATTCGAGCTCTGTAGAAATAGATACATCACACTCATTGGTGAAGTTTTTACAATTTGTAAGTGTGAAATAATAAAGGTATTTATACTGAAAGAAGAATATGGCATCAATAGAAAATCTACAAATTTGACCCTATAGTGTCAATTTTTGGGCATATCTCCATTTGTGGATTGTGAGAAGTAACTCATTTTGTCCCCACGCCTCACATTTACTAATCAATGTTCAGGGCAACTTCCAAGTTTTTTTGTTTTTTTAAATTATAAATCTCTTTTACACCTTCATCAACACAATTAAGATCATTAAAATAAAATTTACTTCTGAACTGTTGAATAATGGCTTTTCCAGCATCGTCTGGATTTATGTGTTTTATATTTGTAAATGCTTTACTGTATGTTCCCATCTACTCAGTTTAGATCATTTAGAAGATGGGCTGCTTTTACTCTGACTGTTTGTGTCAGGGCCAACTGTGGCTGAGAGGGATACTAGCAGTATTTCAACAAACGGATGAAAGAACTTCATAAAAATTTTCCTTGTGAGGGGAATTGAACTTGTGTCTTCAAAATACACCAGTGAAGAACCTAACCTTTACACTACAGATGCTGGTCTTTCAAATCTGGACCTTATGGTTTCTTAATGCAAAGTAATCTTTACCTATGTGCCTACAATGTTCCAATCTTCTTCAGTCTGTGGAAAGGCCAGCCCGACCTCATGAAGCTAAATTTTGCTACTAAAAACACAACTTCAAGCCATTTTAGAAACTATTTTTTCTGTTGTAGTATAACGATGTGAATTTGAATTGATCTAGTCTCATGCAGCTCTTTGTTGGTGCTGGTTGCATTCATAGTGGTAAATCACTTTTCATTGTTGAAGCCTCTAGCCTTGATACACACAGAAAATGTATGTGTTTTTTTGTGTCTGAGGCTTTTGCTTTTGCTCCAAGGCCTAGGATGAATAAGGGAATCTTTTTTTCACTGAGGAATTGAAATTGAACACCACTTGCAATCCTATTTCTCACATGAAACTGCCCTTGAATCCAGACCTTAGGCCTCCTCTGGTTTTATTTCTGATCTGACTCTAGTTATACTTACATATGTATAAATTAATTGTTATATATGTCTGTGGGGCTATATAAGTTAACTGTTATTGTAATTGTCTAGCCGTGTACAAGCTGTCACCTTTTGTCCCTGTACCGTAATGTGATAGTCACTGAATCTCTTTGTTGTTCAGAGCACCTTCTTCTCCTCTGGTTTATAATTGTCACAGAATCTCTTTGTTGTTCAGAGCACCTTCTTCTTCTCCTCTGGTTTATAATTGTCACAGAATCTCTTTGTTGTTCAGAGCACCTTCTTCTTCTCGTCTGGTTTATAATAGTCACAGATTCTCTTTGTTGTTCAGAGCACCTTCTTCTCCTCTGGTTTATAATAGTCAGTGAATCTCTTTGTTGTTCAGAGCACCTTCTTCTCGTCTGGTTTATAATTGTCACTGAATCTCTTTGTTGTTCAGAGCACCTTCTTCTTCTCATCTGGTTTATAATAGTCACAGAATCTCTTTGTTGTTCAGAGCACCTTCTTCTCCTCTGGTTTATAATAGTCAGTGAATCTCTTTGTTGTTCAGAGCACCTTCTTCTCGTCTGGTTTATAATTGTCACTGAATCTCTTTGTTGTTCAGAGCACCTTCTCCTCTGGTTTATAATAGTCACA